ATAATACGTGGATGCTTCCAGAAAGTTTGTGACTTTTTAACAGTCCAACACTCCAACGTGCACATGTACACACATTTGTGTCCCCACACACGGCACACTCATGCCCAACACCCCACAAGACAAAGCACATCCAGGAGCTCGTGTGTCCTGATACGTGACCCTCCTCCTCGTAAATACAAGTTCACACATCCAAGCGAATGTCGCCACAACCGAATCCCAGGCACCCAAGGATCAGGGTGCCCTCTTATTTCCCCTGGATCCAGGCACGGCCCGAATGTTTGAGTCGTGTTCTCTGAATTGCTCAAGAGACGGGCTGCACAGCTCACCGCCCAGGAGAGCCATATCACGTGAATTACCAACTTAGCAGGACAAGCTCTGTGTTCAGTTCCCGCATGCCGATTCCCTCCCCCACAGCAGGGCCAGTGCCTTGAGCCAGGGCCATTAGCCATTCCCAGGGCCGGTGGCATCAGCTTGGAGGGGCTCGGCTTTGAAGTCTCCACTTTACTGCCCTCTTCCAGCTCTATGCATTCCTCTTCCTTCCCCTTTCCCTGGCACCAGCCCTGCCCCTTTTCCTTTTGTGAGAGAGCCAGACCTCAGTGGGGCTCCCCACCCCCCGACCCATTGAAATCCACCCTCCCGGCCCCACCCCGCCCCCTTTACTGAGCTGCAGCTGGGCTGTGTGTTGTCTCAGGGCAGGATGTGGGGGCGGTGGGGGGCACACAGCTCCCTCCTCCCCAGGGGAGGACAATGGGGCCGCTAGTCAGGGTGGCGGGGTGGAGGAGGGGATCATGGAGCTACATCAGAGCCTCTGAGGTGCGGCCCCTGGAGGGACAGCTGAGTGATGAGGCCCGAGTCACATGCCCGCGTGCTCCTTGAACTCCCGCTCCCGGTCCTGTCGAGACACATCCAGAAATGCACAGGGTAAATATTTAGAGGTAATCGTTTTTGTGGCACCGCGCGCCTCCTGCCTTGCTGAGGATGAGCCAGGCCCGGGACTGGAGGGGGCGGAATCTGGTCAGAGCCGGGTTCTGCAGCCTGGGCCTCAGCAGGGGTCACTCTACCTTCCCCTGCCACTGCATCTTCACATTTCAGCCACAACCCAAGGCTAGTGGACCCTGAAAACGTCATGAGGATCAAACCCTGGCTTAAAATCCATCAACAAACTCTGTATTCTACTTCTCTCCTGCCTTCAACCATGGTTGTCAACACTCCAGCTATAGCTTCTGCCAGACGGGGCAGGCCCAGAGGTGGCCTTTCTGTTCCCATGTGGGAGCAGCGAAGGCACTGCAGACGAGAACCAGCCCTGAGCTCCGCATGCCCGTTCCTCGGCTCTGCCCTGCACGGCATGCCTTCCTTCCTTAGAGGACATGGAGTCCGGAGCCCAAGCTTTATCAAAGATAAAACATTTGAGACTAAACAGTCTTTTTATAGACTGGAACTGGGCTCCTGAGGGCACGTCTCTCCCATCACTCCCGCTGGCCTTTCTGAGCACACACATCCAGAACATGCGTTTCTTAGGGGGAGATGGAGACACTGAGGTTTGAGGGTGAAAGTGCACCCCTAGGGAAGGGGGAAAGCTGCAGGAAGGCCTGGGGGCGGTGCCCAGCAAAGCGGTGGTCTGATCCGGGTCCACCTCTTTACCCCCCAGGGAAGAGGCGGGCAGAAGTGACAGCAGCTGTTAGGAGTTTGAAACAGGATGGAACTCAAATGAGTCAGGCACGCACATGCAGCCTGCTCACCCAGGCACACACTGAGAAGAAAATGCGAACGGAGTGGGACCCGCAATCTAAGGCACCAACTCCTCCCCTCCAACCCTGGGCCTGTGGGGCTGGGACACTTGCCCACTGGACACTGAGGGCAAGGTGGAAGGAAGAAAGCAAATATTCATTATGCTTATGTCTATGTACCACTTATTAGGCAGTCTGTAAACATTAGCTCACTTAATCCTCACAAGGGCCCTCCTAGCTTGGTGACAGTCATCTTATTTTTATTCAATGAGGGAATCGAGGGTCATAGTGGTCAAGAGCCCAAGGTCTGACAGGTAACTGTGGAGGAGAGAGTCGACCTCAAGGCCTTTTGACTCCAAAGCCCTATGCTCATTTTCTCTTTGTTTTCTTGAGTGTAAAAATAGAGATAACAGTGAAACCTACTTTGGGGTTGTTGTGAGAATTGAATGAGATTATTTGGGTAAAGGTCAGCCAGTGCCTGGCACAGAGCAGGCCTTAAGTAAACGTTGGTGTAATTATTGTGAAAATTTTGTGTGCAGGGCATCTTAGAGGGCAGTGACACCAAAACCACCCCCAGGGCCTCTCAGATAACATGGGAGACTTGCATGTTCTAGGCTGTGAATCCACGCAAGGATGAGGGTCTTCACATCCCACCACCCAGGGGTCCAGGTGACTTCTGTCATGTGCCAAGAAGTCATGTCCTCCAGTTGGAGAAAGGGAAAAGGAGCCTAAGGGAGGGAAGCAAACAGGATGAAGACTGTCAGAGACCTCAGAGGGCAGTGGAACCCCACTGGCTCTGGGGTTGAAAATAAGAGGAGGGTCCTCCACGGCCGGCCCCGGGGTGATCGCACCAGTTCGTGAATATTTTCTGAGCCTGCTCCACAGATTGGCGTGGCGGTGATCTCTGGGTCTCCGTGTGTCCGTTGGTAAAAAGAGTGGATGAGATATTATTTATATTAGGCGACCCCTCCCTTTCTGCTCTGGAATTCTATAAATTTTTCTCTAGCTCCTCCCTTCACAGGGAGGTCAGTTTCCTTCCTAGTCCTAATACAGCCAGTCCAGGGGGAGTCCTGCAAAGGACGGGTGAAAGGCAGAGGAGAGAATGGAAGGATGTATAGAGAGAACATGCAGATGGCCCTGGGAGGCCTGACTCCCAGCTCAGTTCTCACCCTTAGAGAGAATGCAGTTGCTGCTGCCAGACCGGCTTTGGAGTTAGGATGGCAGGGGGAAGGGCGACCCCTGGGGTCCTCTGTGGGGCTTGGGAGCTGGACAGTGCAGGATGGCACAGACGGACAGCTCACAGTACCCTTTCCCATTTTCTCTCCATGCAGAGACCTCAGCATGAACAACCTCACGGAGCTTCAGCCTGGCCTCTTCCACCACCTGCGCTTCTTGGAGGAGCTGTGAGTAGATGCTTTGAGGGATGGGAGGTGAAGCTCTGGCTATTTCCAGCAGCTGTAGGAACCAGGACTCCCCAGGAGGTGGGGTGGAGAGAAAAGAAAGGGGCTTGGGAAGCTGAGGCTGTTCTTGATAGCAGGGTATTCAGCTGATACCTGCCCCAGGTGTGAATCCTAGGGTGTCAGTGCCAGGATACATGCTATAGGAAGCCTAAAATCTAGCTTTCATTCCTGCCTGAAACCAACTCCTGTCTGCTGCTCTCTTAATGTCAATAGTTGCACCTCTTCCTGGGAGTCCTCTTTGAGTGGCCCTCATCCCTGTGTCCAGCCACTAGCCACTCCCCGAGTCCTGCTGGTTCTTCTCTGAGATGTCTCTCCCCTCCCTCCCTTGCTTTCTATTCCCACTGCTGTTACCCTCTGTCCCCTCACAGCTGGGGGTTGAACCAGCCTTCTAACTGACAGATCTCCTACGTCCATTCTAATATACTCTGCACACCTTCAGAGTGCATCTCACCAGCTCAAGAGCCTTCTGTGGCTCCCAGTGGCCCAAAGGATTTACTTCCTAGACCCTCCCTTATAAGGTCCACTTTCTCCACAAAGCCCTTCCTGGTTAATCCTTCCCCACGGTGGTCACTCCCAGCCTGGAATCCTTAAGTCTGGCCCTCATCTCTAGTGCTGCTCATGAATAAATCATCTTGGTTAGCGTGCCCAGCCTGTCTGCTCTGGGAAGCCAGGCCACTCTGCTCCCAATCCTTACTTCCGTCCTAGCTCTATTCCTAACACTACCCAGCCCTGTTTATTCTTATTTTCACACCACGATAGATTCCTCATCTCTAGTGCTGCTCATGAATAAATCATCTTGGCTAGCGTGCCCAGCCTGTCTGCTCTGGGAAGCCAGGCCACTCTGCTCCCAATCCTTACTTCCATCCTAGCTCTATTCCTAACACTACCCAGCCCTGTTTATTCTTATTTTCACACCACGATAGATCCTTGGTGCTTTAAGAAGGTTTGCTTAAACTGTGCAAACTGTGGGCTCCTGGCACTAAACTTATTCACAATTCCAGCTCTACCCTGGCCGCACTTCTTTCCTCACAGATCTCCCTGCCTCGAACCTAGATAGTGCTCCTCAAGGATGCAGTTAAGTTGTCCCTGCTGGAGTTAGGAGTTCAGCCCCCCAGGGCCATGGCTGGGTTTTCCACACCAAGTACTTGCTGAGCCCTCTCTGTGCGAACCAAGACTGTAGAAAGGCTTCTTGGTATCTGAGGGCTCCAAGCTTGGGCTCTGTAGGTAGGTGTGCACTCAAGGAGCTCCAGGGGAAAACAAGACAAGAGACATGCCTGCTGCCCTCAGGGGCCTTCCAGGTAAGGCTGAAGAGCAAGGTGGGCGCAAGTCAGCAGGGGAACGTGGCAGCTGCTGGTGTGGGCACCCAGGGCGTTCTGTGTGAGGGAGTGGGCAGGGAAGCCTTCCTGGAGGAGGAACATTAAGCCAGTTTTCAAAGAAAACTGAAGTGGACAGGGTAAGAGGCGGTGAAGGGGCTTCTGAGGTGGAGTTGACATGGCTCGGTTGGGAATGAAAAGCAAGCGCAAAGGCCAGGGAGCTTGGGGCAGGTGACGTATGGGCACAACCTGAGAATTTAAGTCTGACTTTCCATCTTCCACTCCCTGAGAGAGGTTGGACCCATTTCAAAGGCCCCACCTACAGGACCCTTCCATGGCAAATGCCCACCTCCAGAACCTAAGCTTGGAGACCTCAAATATCATGATGCTTTTCCACACAGTTTTTTTTTTTTAAATAATAAATGTCAAGTAAAGAGACTTTTATTAAAGATACATATAATATATATATTTTATTTATTTATTATAAGCATAATCATTACTACAAGTCGTGATTTTTCTTTATGCCCTTTACCCAACCTATCCCTCCCCAAACCCCCACCGTGCCTCCGCCCCATAGAGATATATTTTTTAAAAATAGCTTCTGAGGTATATCAGCACAATCTCTACATCTGCAGGCCTCTTAGTAGCAACTGATGCACGTAATAATGTCCCCAGGGACTTTGGAGCTCCAGAAGTATCTTCTGAATTGTCCACAATTAAGCTCTGCTCAGTCAGGTTGCAGCATTAAGTACGTGCATTAAGTATATTTTGTTTCATTTTCTCCTTTTAGAATTGGTGAGCACCCCACGACAAACATGGAAACGCTTAATTAGGCCAGAATGTTAGACTAATTCCACACCCCATTTCCTAACCCTCCTGGATTAGTGGGGGTTAGCTGTGTCATTTAGGGTATGGGGACACACAGACACACACCCCTGGACCTCAGCCCTCCACTGGCAACAGGCCACAATGCAGTTCAGTCGTCGAGGGCAGGCTGTGAGTCACCCAGGTGCACAGGAGAGGATGTGACCCTGTGGCGCGGCCATGCCCTTGCAGTTAGCGAGGTCTGGGTGAGAATACGATGCTCTGCTACTGACTGGCTCTGTGATCCGTAGGGGAAGTGACTTGACTTCTCCCACCCTCAGTTTCCTCATCTGAAATTTGGGGATAATAACAGGTAACTTACGGTGTTATTGCGAGAATTGACATGAAACCTGTGAAGTATTGAACACACTGCAGATATCAATAAATGGTAGTTACCACAACCATTCTCCCTTCCCATGTCCCAAGACACTAACTAATGGAGGTCACCCCCTCATCGGGTTACCTGCCAGCGCTGCTGACCCTTGTCTCTGATTTGCAGTCGCCTCTCTGGGAACCATCTCTCACACATCCCGAGACAAGCGTTCTCTGGTCTCTACAGCCTGAAAATCCTGTAAGTATAAGTACACCCCATTTTACACAGTGCTGTAACACAGAATTTGAGCAAATGGAGGATTATAACCCGAGTTTCGGTTTGCTGCTGACTTGCTTCTCATTATTTCCTTATCTTTGCTTTTAATTTCAATTGTTATTTCCATTTCTTTGCTTTCGCCTTGTCTGTAACAAACTTTATGGTCTGTAAACAAACATTTGTACCTGATATAAACGGCAACCCATTTATATGGGTTTATATGGGAGGTGAATCATCTTTTTTTTTGTAATGTAAATACTGACCATCAGCATAAGTCTTTGTGGGGCTGAGTTCAGTTAGACACCCAAGTGCTCCCCCTGAGGCCTCTCAGCCCAGGAGAGGGACAGGACTGTTTCTGGACAGGAGGAATCCAGATGGGTTTTCTTTGGCCGTTCTTCCTCTTGAGACCCAACCTCGTCTCTGCGTCTGTGGCACTGAGTCTCCATTCTCACTGTGAACGTGTCTCCTTCAGTCTTCAGGCTGCTCCCTCCCGGCCCATTTCACCTTTCCTCTGAAGCAAAAGGGAAGCGAAGGCTGGGGAGGCCCTTGTGTCATTTCACCTACCTTCCCCTGGCCATTGAACTGGTGGCCCATTTTAGAGAGGGGTGGCTGAGGCACCGTCTCCTCCCATCCCGCTCCGTGACTTACCTCGTTCCAACTGAGACCGTCCTCCCGAAGGCCCCCTCGTGTTCTCTTATGACGAGGGAGGGCAGAAGGAAGTGGGCGGAAGAGGATGCACAGCGTTTGAAGGGAGGCAGGAGATGTTCTGGGAGGAACTGGTTTGGGGAGAAACTGAGGATCTTAGGGGGTGATCCTGGGGCAATACATTGAGCATTTGGTGCTTCCCCAAAATGGGGAGCCATTCCCCAGCTCCGCTCCGCCCTCAGCCCTGACTTGACTTGAAGATATTCTTTGTACAGTTGAGCGGGTTGTTTACTACATAAGAGCATCTGGCTGAGGGGGTGAGAAGGGGCTGAAACTCAGTCCTGTGCCCTGGCTTGGGCTGCATCCATCCAGAAAGGGATTACCTTTCTCTAATTTTTTCAAAGTTGCTTAGGGGCTAGTACTGGTCCTGCCCCCTTGTCTCATGAGCTTGGGCTCCCAGCTGGTCAACAGGCCGCACGTGAACACTTTCTCGTTTTTCTGCACTGTTGGCTTCTGCCACCTCTGGCTCCAGACTCCTCTCCATCTGCCTCCTAGTGTCTGACTCACAGAGCTCTCTGGTCTGCCATCCTTCCCTCACTCTTTGCTCACCCTTGGGTCCCTCCTGTCTCTGTCCCCAGCCTCAGTGTCCTTGTGTCTAGCTCCTCCTGCTCCTCTCTCAGACCTTGCTGTCCCCCCCCTGTCCCTCTGCTCCCTGCCTCTCAGTTGGCCGCCTTCCTGCCTCCTCTCTCTGCCTCTCTTCCCATGAACATCGCTGCCCCAGGGGGATGGCGAGGCATTCTGAACCAGACACACCGTGCAGGCAGCCTGCTTGGTGGCGTGTCTGTGCCCAGTGGCAGGCTCAGACCTGCAGCTGGGATTAGAGAGCAGGGCTGTGTTTGCTGGGCCTTCAGAAGATGTGAGACTCACGTCCCGTTCCTAAGACTCTGGCTTAGAGATGAGCCTCCTCTTTCTTCTTTGCCTGCATTAGGCAATAAATCAAAGCCTTGGAGAAACCGCAGGCCTCCCGCCCCTTTCTACAAACGGCGCCCTTGGCTGGGTGAGTAAGGTGGCCGGGAAAGGCTACGGCTGGGAGCCGAGTATAGCCAGACTGTCCGCTCCCCATTCTGCCATTGACCCCCATTTCCCCCCATCCTGGAAGACCACCTGGTCCTTTGCCTGCAGAGCTTCTCTGCTTTAGGAACAGGTTGGGTGGTCTTGGGGAATTGATCTTCTGCCTCAAGTACTTCAGAGCAGAAGATTCCACCTGTGTCCTGGGCGCAAAGTACTTTGCGATGTCTGGTGTCGTTTTTACTTGTTGCAGTGGCCTTCCATTGCTTGTTTTTCAGACCTGCAAGAAAAATAGAGCAGTAGAGCCTACTACCAGCATAACAATAGCCTCTTTAGTCTTCTCTGTGCCCAGGACCCTCCCTTATCTGAATGGCTTCTTTCTTTCTCTGTGGCCTAGCTCTCCCTGGGGACGCTGCCTCCTTCCTTCCCTGCCAGAGGCAAAGGATTAAATAAAGGGGATTCCCTCTCTGATCCTTTCCTAAATGACTGTGGCAGAACCCCTCCCTCGTGTCCTTCCCACCTTCACACCTGACCTCGAGGGATGACTCATGGGATCCTTCCTTCCTCCACGGGTTCTCCAAGTCTTCAACCTCACAAGCCAGGCTCAAATCAGGACAGTCAGCCTCTGCAGGGACTTGCCAGCCTCTCGCTGTGAAGAGCTGTGAAGACCCAGGCGCCAGACTCACCTTCCCAGCTCACCGCTGGAGCTATCCTAGGGGAAGCTGCATTTCCTGCACCCTGGGCCTGTGGGAAAGTGCCTGCACCTTGGGAGCCTCCTCCTGTGTGTCTTCCCAGGGCACGGGGGGCAGGTGCGGCCAGTGCTCCTGCATCTTGACCCACTGCCTGAGGATGTGGGGTGTGTGTGTGTGTGTGTGTGTGTGTGTGTGTGTGTTAGGCCTCTCGGGTCTTTACCTCAAAAGCTTCTAGTCCCCTCTTCCCTCACAGGCCTCTTTTCCCAGAGCTGCCCTCCCAGAGAGCTGGGCAAGACCNCCCCTCTTCCCTCACAGGCCTCTTTTCCCAGAGCTGCCCTCCCAGAGAGCTGGGCAAGACCTGCCTTGGCATCTTCCCCCAGCTGCAGCCCAGCCAGGGCCTCCGCCCTCCTGATGCCAGCCAGGTTGGTCTGGCCCTGTCTAGGAAGACTCCTGCTGGGCCTCAGTGGCCTCTCACCAGACTCAAATCTGGGAAGCAGGGAGCAGATAGTTTGAGGTTTTGCCTCCTCTCCTTGACCCCAAGAGACTGGGTGGGAGATTGTCCCAGATGCCCTGCTCCTGGATCGGGCCCAGGGTCCCTGGAAGTCTGACTGTGGATTCCTAGCCCATGCCATCTTGGTAAAGACTAAGGCTCTAGAAGGCAGCTCATGGCTTCCCAAGCTGGGGCCGATCCCATCTGAAGCCCTGGCTTGAGGTCACAGAGGTGTGGAGAGAGTTAGTGTCTCTCGGCCCATTTATGAGGAAGTCTCCCCATTCCTGTAGTGTAGCCTTCTTTGTGCTGTATGGAGAGTCTCAGGTCGACATTATGTCTACTGTCCATCTGGTTGGACGGCGGCCATGTCCAGCCCAGAGTTGGGGCTCTATCTCGGTGTTAATGAACTGAATCAAACTGACCCGAGGAGGGACATTCGAGTTGTTTGGGAGCACTGGGCTGTCGCACCTCACTGAGCACCTCGCTGGCCCGGCTCATGGGAGAAGGCTGCCTGGGGCTCCTGGAGCCCAGGAGGTCCTCTGAGTCATTCCTCTACGTGACTGGATGACAGGAAGTGGATCTCCTGTGCTGCAGGGAGACTTGAGACCAGACTCAGGGCCTCACCAGATCCCAGAACAGGTTTCAAGGAGGACACTTAGACTTCCTGTCTCTGGGCCTCAGTCTTCTCACCTTTAAAATGGGGAGTTTCCCAACATTTTTAGCTGCAGAAACTTAACGCAAAAACAAAAACACCTTGTACAGAAGCCCCAACACGTAAACAGATGAAGGACTTCTCTGTTGGCTGGGGGAGCAGCGGGGGAGAACTCCAGGCTCTGTCTCACCCACCCAACCTAGTAACCCAAGGCACCTCCACAGAACCAAAGGAAGGGCCTTTGGAAACCGCCGGTGGGTCGCCTCCGGTAATTTCTGGCTGTATCGCTCATGGTTCCTGCCCCCAATGCCTCTCTGGCCAGAGAGACATCCCCATGCATGTGTCCCATTTTTGAGGAGGGAGGGTGCCGAAGGCTAAACTTCTGCTAGATGAACGGCTACACATTACAGTCACCTGAGAGACTGAAAAACTACTGATGTCTAATATTCCTCCAGCAGAGACTCTGCCCCAGAGATTTAACTGGGCTGCAGTGTAGTCAGGGCACTGGGATTTTAAAAACCTTCACAGGCGATTCTGCTGTGCAGCCAGGGTTGAGAGCTGCTGGATTAGGTAGACTCTGCTTCACGAGGCAGAACCAGGGCCAGCAAAGGAAGAGGGAGGCACGGTCACAAAAGCACTGGCCTAGGAGACAGGACTTGGGTCCGAGTCCTGATTCTGCCACTGATTGGCTTTGTAACTTAGGGCAAATCACCTCCCCTCTCTGAGCCTCCATCTCCTCAACTTGGAAAGTAAAGGGGCCATTCCCTTCTAAGGGTACTTCCAGCCTTGATAACCCAATTGTGTTTCAATAAAGGAGTGATGGCTGGGACACGAGGCTGGGAACAGCAAGGGAAACAGGGCCAGGGCCAAAGTCAACTGCCATGCTTACCTCCAGCTTTGTGGGTTTTGACTCCATGACAGAGAGCACTTTCTGATGACCAGACTGTCTGGCTTGGGATGAGTTGTCTGGGGACACATTGAGTTCCTTGAAACTGGGAGAAAAATTTAGTGCCCTGCGAAGATGCTACAGCTTCTGTGTTGGGGAGAGGTACATTTCGGAGGGCTTAACCATCTATTTAGATCTGGGATTCAACAGAGGAATGTGTGTGGGGATCTTAGGAGGTGATTTGGGTGGAGATGCATTGAGGTCCTCCTTGGAGCTGGGGGCTTGCCTGTGGACATGAAGCATCTGGGGCCCATGGAGAGGTGGGGCCCTGTGAGGGGGCGTGAGCAGCCTGTGACCCGCTTGCTTTCCCAACTGTCATTTCTCTCACATCCTTGTTCCAAGCACCCTGAGGCCTCATGCAAAAATCAAGGCAGCCCCCTAGACTGGAAGTGAGGAAGTGCCCACCCTTAAGATGAAAGAAGTCAGGATGGCTGCGAGGATAGAAGTGCTAAGCCAGGCTGGGGGCAGGAAATGTCCTGGATCACTGAATTTACAACTGAGTAAGGTTTTATGTATCTCCTGGCAGGCTCTTCCTTTGAAACATGGGGAAATTGAGGCGCAGAGAGGGGAAGTGACTTACTCAAGTCATCCAGTAAGTGGTAAAACTGAGACCAGAAAGTAATAGTAATAATGAGTGATGT